GCCTCTCCAATGTAAACACCCTATTCCTTAAAATAGCTACAGCTGTTCTGTTTCCTGCCCTATACCCCAACATTAAGTGAGTTCAGGTCCTTACACTCTTGCTTGGACTACTGTGATAATTAAGTGACATGCCTGGAATCTCTCACCATTTCAGTTCTTCCTGACCCGCCACCATCAAATCTGACCATGCTTAAAGAAAGCTTACCCAAAAAAGTCCACATGGAAACCTCTTATGTTATTTTAAATACCTCTTATGCACCTTGTGTGTGCAGCTGTCTCCTTTAATTCCTTCTCCATCTGCTAAAATCCCACTCCATCTTCTGAACCTAGCTCAAACAAGACTCCTGTAAATATTTTCCAACAGGGTCACTCCGCCTATATGTGAACTATTTCCACATACCCTGCTGCCTGCCCTTGGCTCTGTACTCATTCACATTCATTCATTCAAAAGATACTTGTTGAGTTACACTAGACCTACCACATGTCACCCATTGTGTAGAGGGCAGGGGATACAAGCCTAAACAAGATAAACAAGGTCTCTTCTCTCTTATAGCTATAATCCAACAGGGATATAGATTACCCAATAAATACCCAAATAATGTTTAATTACAACTGTACTTAAGTGTAATAAAACATTCAGGATGTGTCTTACACGTATAAAGGAAAGTCTAATCTAATACAGAAAATCAGAGAGAAGCACTTCCCTTCAAGAAACATTTAAGCAGAAAGGGGATGATGTGTAAAACTGATCAAGCAAAAAACTGTTAGAGAACTTCACAGGCAGAAAGAACAGCATGTGCAAGGGCCTTGAGGCAGCATTCTAGGAACCATGAAGACAACCAAAAGTCACATGAGATGGGACGGCAGCCCAAAATAAGTAGAGAGGGAGGCACCTCTTATAACCACTATTATAACACTTAGTACACTGTTTTGGAATTACTCATTTGCAAAAATGCAGTCCTCTCTGAACAAACTCCTTAGGTCTCCTTAGGTCTCACAAATATTTTAGCTCCATAATCCGATACAGTGTTTAGCAGTGTCCCCTCAAGTCACGATCTGTGGAATGAAGAAATAAGTGCTTGATCTGGGCAAGGAACTTAACCTCTTAATACCAGACAGATGAAACAAAACAATCTCTAAGTGTTCAAAAAAGCTTGTTTCTTACTACCCCAAAACTTACTGGGCAAGAGGCAACATATTCATGCCAATTGATACACGTTCAGAATCAAAACTAGTACTAACCGTGGATGAAACTAATACTAAAAACTAAACTTTAGATTGGCAAGAGGCTCTAAATCCTCACTGCTCCATAAATCGCCACCAACTAATAACCAATAGAACTGTATTAAAACTCCCAGAGAGTCACCAACGAGGCCAGGGAGAGGAAGTCCAGCCCCATCTGCCTGGTTTTTTTTTTCTAGTTGCTCAACAGATCTAGTAAGTGTAGAATCAAGAGCAGGAAACTGGCACCTATGCCATCCTTCTCTCCCTCCTTACTTCTTAAATAATGTCAACTCAGGAAACACACTGGTGACTCAATAAGAAAATGTCAAAATCCAATTGATATAACTCTGCCAACTATTACAAGTCAACAGAATGGGGTAATCTTTAGCCCTACACTTTAGTCTTTGGTACTTGTTCTCAAAGAGCAGTGGAGGAAGTATTTTTTGAAAGAAAACTGAGTTAACTAGGAAATAGCTTCAAAATACATGAAAAGCTTGATGTAGTTTATTAGTGAGGAAAACATTTATATATATATATATATATATATATACATACATACACACACACACACACACACACACACACACATATATATATATATATATATACACATACAGTATGGAACTCTGTATAATAGCTAAGGTGTAGAATAAGACCCTTAGCATATCTTTTAAAAATACACTTATGGGGCGCCTGGGTGGCGCAGTCGGTTAAGCGTCTGACTTCAGCCAGGTCACGATCTCGCGGTCTGTGAGTTCGAGCCCCGCATCAGGCTCTGGGCTGATGGCTCAGAGCCTGGAGCCTGTTTCTGATTCTGTGTCTCCCTCTCTCTCTGCCCCTCCCCCGTTCATGCTCTGTCTCTCTCTGTCCCCAAAAAATAAATAAACGTTAAAAAAAAAAAATTTTTTTTTTAAATACACTTAACCAGAATTTCACTATCTGCATTTACTATGTTGTCTGGCATGTATAATAATGAATCCAAAATCATTTAACAAGCAAAGAACCCTACTAAAGAGCTCTTTAATGGGGTTCAACCATACCAAAGACTCAAAACTTGTACAAAATATATTTAATTATATCAGTGGTCCAATCATGTCAAATTTTTCAAGTAATACAACTATGAGATCAAATCTAATTAAACTAATTAAACTTAACTGTGATTTTTTTCCTGGAAGATCAAGATAAAACAGTGAAATAATTCAGAAGATCAATTTAAGAGGTGTCTGGGTGGCTCTGTCGGATAAGTCTCCAACTCCACTCAGGTCATGACCTCACAGTTCGTGAGTTCAAGCCCCGTGTCAGGCTCTGTGCTGACAGCCTGCAGCCCGCTTTCAGTTGTGTGTGTCTCTCTCTCTCTCTCTGCCCCTCCACTGCTCACGCTCTGTCTCACTCTGTCTATCTCTCTCCCTCAAAAATGAATAAACATTAAAAAAAATTTTAGAAGTTGGGGCGCCTGGGTGGCTCAGTCGGTTAAGCGTCTGACTTTGGCTCAGGTCATGATCTCACGGTTCCTGAGTTCAAGCTCCCCTTCGGGCTCTGTGCTGACAGCTCAGAGCCTGGAGTCTGCTTCGATTCTGTCTCCCTCCCTCTCTGCCCCTCCCCCGCTCACACTCTGTCTGTCTCTCTCATAAATAAATAAACATTTAAAATAAAATAAATTTTTAGAAGATCAATTTAGTATCATTCAAGATTTAGTAACAACATGGAAAGAGTAATGGTCTTTCTAAATCATGACTGGAATTCATGCCCTTCACATTGCATCCTCAAACTCTTGATACTATTCTCTTCTCTCCAACCTTCTCCATTTCTCAAAAACAAACCCAGAAACAGAAGACCAAACAAAACCAAAATAAAACATTCATGCAATATATATCTATGGACCTCAGTGGCAATACAAATAGCAAGCAAAACTAATGCTCCCTTTTCCTCAGATTAAAATAAAATTTTTGCCCTAATTTTAAAAGTACATGATTCTCCTCTCCTTACTTCAAAAGATGGAAATGGAAATGTTACCATGTGGCACATAATGGCTTTTTAAAAACCTATAAATTATTTTGGGAAGCATTAGTGAATACCTGATTTTATAAAGTACTTTTTGGGGGACAAAAATTTAAACAAACATTATTTTTCAATTATTTCTATACCTAATGAAGGTACTTACTAAAACTGTTACTATTTAATATTTAATGAATAGATTTTAAAATATACTAGGATCTCTTTTTAAGCATGTAACTTATTACCCAAAATGCAGCTCATTTCTTTTTCTGGCCTTTTAAAGGCCCCATTTTTCAGCGTTTTACTAGTGCAGTGATGAGTAATTGAGCCTCAATACAAAAGAGTATTCCCCAAAAATCCACACACATAATCAATATGAGGTAAACAAGTTTTACTACAATAATCAGGCATTTTTAATTCATCACCTGAAAAGTTACACAGAATAAATATCAGCTTGGGTGAGTCAAGGTACTATATGAAAAGTGCTTCAACACATGGTCAGTTACAGTATTCCCACATGACCTTCCAGTGATCCAGTACCTGTTATGATAGTATGGTAGTGAAGTGACTTCCTGATGCCATGTGGCTTAGTCTAATCAAACATTATCAGCCCACTGAAACGTGCATTTACACAATATTGAGTAAGAACAGTAAAGCTTCAGAAAAGTCTAAGTCAAATAACAGAAATCTTAAATGACATTCTCAAAGTCTGACTTCTGCTTTGGAGAACTACCTATTTCTCACCAAATAAACCAATTTACAAATAAGCAAGATCTTTTCCTGAACACATGACAGGTTTCTTTTTAAAAATCTGAAACCTTTTTCTCATGAGATTACTTAGAAGACATTAAATATAAATCAGATCGCCAAACCCAAACATATAGGCTAAAAATAGTGTATCTATTTCAAAAGCTGAGGCAGAAGCCCTCCAACGGAACAAACTAAAATTAGGGGTTTTTTTTCACCTCTGGATCTTTAAAAAATGCACCTTCAACGTCTATGGGTCACACAAACCAATGTCCACATGTTCTCCCAAAGCAACTGGTCAGACACCATATAATTATTAAAAGCTTCAGGAACATAATAAGCACACCGTCCACGGGACTCACGTAATGAAATTCCTCTTCATTCTGGCTAATATCTAGATTTAAAAAAACAGTTATCACTACTACTACTACTAAAGACCCCTCCCCAATGGTTTCACTCAGTAAAACTCCAAACCAGCAAAAAAGGACCACCATACTCTTTCTCGTGAAGAAGCAAAAGCCCGGTACAAAGCTGTCAGGTGGACAGGCAGGTAGGGCTCCACCTGAGATACCGAGCCTCGGAGCCCCGGGAGGCACGACGTGGTCACGGGGGAAGGGTCGAGGCGGGGACCGAGACTAAGGGTGGCCCCACCCACGGATGTACCTGCGAGCTGAGGCGGGTGGAGGGCAACCCTTTAACCCTAAGCCCTGGCCAGGCCGTCGCCCCGTTCCGCGCTCCCGGCCCGGCTCTGGCCCCGGCCCTCTGGGGGGGGTCTGAGCATCGCGACACGGGCACGGCTCTGCCCCGGGGCCGGGGAGGAGAAGGGGTTGGGGCCAGTGCCGGCGCCCACGGGCCTGACCTCGCCACCGCCTCTGGCGGAGGTGAGGGGCGACTCCAGCCTGCGCCCGCCCTCCCTTCAGGGCCGGGGCCGGCCGGGCGCAGCCGCGGCGTCCGCTCGGGCCCCGGGCGCCGTGGCGACGGGAAGGTCACCGGCCGCAGGAGGCCCCGACTAGGGGCGGCGACGTCCGCGCTACCTTTGGCCTCGCAGTCGGCGCAGTACTTGTTGTCCTCCTCCCTCAGCAGCTTGGACAAGATGAGCTGGTGCTGCTCATTCAGCTTCTGAGCCTTCTCCCGGCAGGAGCGCGTCGCCATCTCGGAAGCGGGGCGAGGAGCCGGGGCAGCTACGGCGGCGGCGGGCTCTGGCAGCTGGGCGGGGTGAACACACCTGGAGCCGCCGGACCGCGGGCGGACTCAGCCAAGGAAGCGGCGGCGGCAGCGGCAGCTGGAACAGAAGGAGGAGCGGCGGCGGCGGGTGGCAGCGCCGACGTGTCCCGCCTCCTCGCCGGGCCAGCCCCGCACGCACAGCCAGAGCCGGCGAGGCACAAGGAGGGGGAGGGGGAGGGGGGAGACGGAGCTGAAGCTTCCGGGTGGCGCCGCAGGAAGGAACACAGGCGCCGGGCGAGCTGCGCATGCGCCGAACTTCCCCGGGAAACCGGCCGGGAGGGGATCGCTGCGCTGGGCCCTTCGCCAAAGGTGATTGCGGGAAGGTATTTGGTGCTGCCCGCTGTGGGCTTCCCCACCTTGGAGATCACACTGTACCAGAGTGCCCTCAGGTGAAACCCGGTGAAGGAAGACCTTTACAAGGAGGTGACTTTGACTTGCTTTCTTGCCTTTGCGCTTGCTGGCGCAACGTTGGAAATGCATAAATAAAAGTGATTGAGTGCATTCATTTATTCATTCCATGTTTATTCACCTGCAGTTTTGAAACAGGCACTATCCTAGAAATTGGAGACACTAGTGGAATAAAATAGTGAAAACAGTCCCAGAGAAATAGTTTGGTAGTGACATATGTTAAGGGCTGACATTGAGTGGTTACTCTGTGCCAAGAACTATGAACTCATTAACCCTTATCACAACCCTGTGATAACGTTATTCTCATTATACAGATGTGGAAAATGAGGTATGGAAGAGTTAAATAACTTGCCCGGGTTACAGAGCTACCCAGTGGAGGAGTTGAGATACAAATCCAAAACAGTGTGGATCCAGAGTCTAAAACACGTGAAAACAAGGCCTTTCATAAGGAAAGTAAAGGCCTTTCACAAGGAGGCAAACAGTGGGCGATGTTACTTTAACAAGAAGCTGTATAAACAGTGTTCTTTAATGTGTGAAAAACTAGGGAAAGAAGACACTTAATTAGAACCCGGAGCTCCCCAATCAGGACTGCCTCATGGGATTTGAACCCTGTGTGAGGCTATTTGACTATTTTGGCATATCATGGCATATGACCAATTTCTAATATGAAGCTTTTGCAATCAGAATAAACGTGGCTCTTGCCTATGGAGGAACAGATGCTAAGAAAGGCAATGAGATGGGGCCTGTGTCCTATAGTTTTCCACAGGGCCAATTCCTACCATAGGCCCTGCATAAAGGTGACCCTCATACTCACTTATCCCTGTTCTTGGCACAAGATCTCAAAAATTCTTGTGTAATTCAATTGAATGGTGATATCAGTGAAGATGCTGAGTAACTGAACAAATTAGAACTTAAACTGTGTGTCTCTGACAAATAATAACTAGTAGGATATCAGAGTCAGTTCCAATTGACTGAAAAAACATTATGTGGGAGGTAGAACTTTTAAGTCATATCTTAAAGTCTGGCTTAGGTCACGATCTCGCGGTCCGTGAGTTCGAGCCCCGCGTCAGGCTCTGGGCTGATGGCTCAGAACCTGGAGCCTGTTTCCGATTCTGTGTCTCCCTCTCTCTCTGCCCCTCCCCCATTCATGCTCTGCCTCTCTCTGTCCCCAAAATAAATAAATGTTGAAAAAAAAAATTTAAAAAAAAAAAAAAAGTCTGGCTTGATTTAAATGGGGGCCAAGGAAGAAAATACTGAGCAAGAGAAGCATGCACAAAAGCACAGACTTCAAAGATCTTGGAACACAGACTAAAGGTCAAGGGTACTACTCAAGATGAGTGAGAGAGAAGTCTGGGTGAGTGAGGTGCAACAGAATTAATTGTTTGGGGAACCAGACAAAGCAATGGCCTTGATGCCGCTGACAACAGAAAACCTGCAGATTCTTCAAGTAGGATGGTAGCATTAAAAAAAGGGATGTTTAGGGGCGCCTGGGTGGCGCAGTCGGTTAAGCGTCCGACTTCAGCCAGGTCACGATCTCGCGGTCCGTGAGTTCGAGCCCCGCGTCAGGCTCGCATCAGGCTCTGGGCTGATGGCTCAGAGCCTGGAGCCTGTTTCCGATTCTGTGTCTCCCTCTCTCTCTGCCCCTCCCCCGTTCATGCTCTGTCTCTCTCTGTCCCAAAAATAAATAAACCTTGAAAAAAAAAAAATTTAAAAAAAAAAGGGATGTTTGGGGAAGGTTAGTCCAATAATACCAGTTAACAGACACCATTTTTCTCCTGCCTGGAAATTCTGCTTACCACTGCAAGGATTAAGGAAAAAACAAAAAACAAACAAACAAAAAAAACCCAGACACAGGCTTATCACCAAGAAATGATTCACATGATTAAAGGGGCACAGCAATGTCTAATGGAAATATAATGCACACCACATATATATACTTTTAAGTTTTCTAGTAGCCACATTTAAAAATAGAAAAAAAAAGAAACAGGAAATTTTTACTTTAATGGTATATTTTATTTAATCCAATATATCCAAAATACTATCATTTCAACATATGAGTAATTGTCAAAATAAAATTAAAAATTATTACTGAGATACTTTACATTCTTGTTTTCCTACTGTTTTCAAAATCCAATGTGTATCCTACACTTACAGTTTGCTTCAACTTGAACTAACTACATTTCAAGTGCTCAATCACCACATGTAGCTAGTGGCTACATCACTAAACAGTGCTTGTCTAGATGGTCATCCTGGAGGCTATTAAAAATCTAAGTTTGAGTTGACTATTTATTAAATATGTAATAGAAAGAATGAAAAAGAAGACACTGATACCAAAAACACCTTGGGAGAAAAACAATGTTGCATTAATTCATCAATATTTACTGGGCAACTTCTGTAAAGTTCTCTGACAATCAGAAGCTTACAGTCTAATGTAAGATGCAAACACGTAAATAGAAAAATTAAAAGCCGCAAAGTAAAGTCTGCAGCAAATATAAAATGCTCTGGGAAGAGCACCAATAGCCTGGAAGAACTGAGAAGGACTTCACAGAGTACATGATGCTTAAACTAGATGTTAACACATGTAGGAATTTTTCAAGTGAATACAGATGAAGAGGAGGAAAAGAAATATCTTGAAATATATACATATTACATATATTTTCTATATGTAATATATATCACATGTATTTACATATAAATATTCATACATTTACATATAAATATATTACGTGTATTTAAATATACTTACATATATGTATGTGTATATGTACACATATATTACATAAATGTAATACATATATGCGTTTAAACGTAGACTTCTGAAAGCATGGTTTTGTGCTGGAAGCAGTGAGAATAGGATGTGCACAGAGAACATGAAGACAGGAAAGGAAACAAGGAGGAGAGGTAGAATGGAGTCAGGAGGTTAAGAAATTTACAGCCAGGCTATCTAGTTTGAACTTTACCCTGTGGGCATATGGAGCCAGAAGAAGCTTTGACACAGAGAAAAGACTTGGTTAGCTTTGTTTTCTATAACTATAATGGCAGGCTGGAGGATATGGGAGGGGAGGAATACTGTCAGGGATCAGGGAAACAAATTACAGACAGGGCTGTTGCAGTAAGTCCAAAGAAGACATGCCAAAGGCCTATTTTAAGCCAGTAGCATAGAGTTTAGAAGAGACAAAGTCAAATGATGTTTTAAAATTAGAAGCAGCAAGATTTGGCAGCTGACTGCATGTGGGGGTTGAGAGAAAGGAGGTGAGAATAACACCAAGGTTTCTAAGTTGGGAGACAGGTAAATGGTGATGCCATTAACTCAGACCAAGACAGAAGGGATAGTACACTTTTGTGGTTAGAGGGGGAAAGGTGTTTACTTAAGGACATGTCCATGCGATATCCACCTCCATATGTCTAATACGACATTGCATATCTACTTCTAAAGCTCTAGAGAGAAGTTAGTGCTAGTGAAAGTCATTTGAGAATCATCTACATTTAAATGGTCATAGAAGCCATAGGGTAAAAATGAGACTCCTCTAGAGACATGTAGACATGTAGACAAAAACAAAGAGTCCCGGGGACAAAACTCTGGGGATTTCCAGCTAAACGATGAGTGGACAGAGAAAGGTGAACCTTTGAAAAGAGAGGTAAAGTGTGGCCAGGAAGAGAACCAGAGGCCATGGTAGGAGAGGTTTCTGAGAAGTAAGCATGAGCACTAAAGCCAAATGTCCAGAAAAGTCAATTATTTCAGTTTTAGATAACACACAGTCATGGGTCTGTACAGTTCATTGTTTTCCTTTAGCCCAGGAGCAAGAGAGGAGAAATCAGCTGGTGATACTTCCCAGGGACTGCAACTATCTGGTGTTTCAGTAAAATGTTGAGGGAGGGATGAGGATGGTTAGAAAGGCCAGAGAGAAGAAAATATAGGTACAGGGATAGAAAGCATGGCTACAGTTAACTGTATAGTGTAAGGTAAATGTCCAAACTGTGTGTGGGAGAGGTGAAGTCAGAACAGCTAAATGACTACAGGTTCCTTTGAGGCCAAAGATAATTTGGTGCCCTTAGGAAATGAATGCTAAGAGCTAAAAAAAAAAAAAAAAAAAAAAAAAAAAAAAAAAAAAGAGGGGGGCAGAGTACCTAGTGACCTAGAGTACCTAGCTCTTCGGGAAGAAGTAACTTCTATCAATGAACTCCAGATGGTAAGGTGTTTATGGATGTTTGATGGCTGAAGAGTGAGGTTGAATGTCTGTTTCTACAGATTCTTAGAGAAGTGAAGTCCCTTTTAACTCTAAAATTCTGTTTCCAGGGGTGCCTGGATGGCTCAGTGTTTTAAGCGTCTGACTCTTGGTTTTGGCTCAGGTCATGATCTCACAGTTCATGGGTTCAAGTGCCATGTCGGCTCTGTGCTGACAGTTCAGAGCCTGCTTGGAATTCTCTCTCTTTCCCCCCTTCTCTGCCCCTCCCCTGCTCACGATTTCTCTCTCTCACACAATAAATTAAAAAATTTAAAAAATTAAATTAAAAAATCTGTCCCATTTGGAGAAAAAAAGACAAGAAACAGGTTTAGAGAGTTTGACCAAATTGGAGCTGGTATTCCACAGAAGACTAAGAGAAGGAGTTGGTAAGCGGGGGTGGGGGGGTAGGGGGGTGGGCAGAGGGCAATGAAGGACAATTATGGGTAGAGTGAAAGAGAATTATGGGGGTGGAGTGAAATGGACAAGAGTGAGCCATGTATGAGTGTGTAAGTGGAATGTCTGATAAGAATGGTAGATACAGACAGCTGGCAGAAGGGGGGGGTAATAGTAATAAGAGCTACTGCTTTTTTTATTTTAATTTTTTTTAATGTTTATTTTTGAGAGGGAGAGAGACAAAGCACAAGCGGAGGAGGGGCAGAGAGAGGGAGACACAGAATCCGAAGCATGGTCCAGGCTCCAAGCTGTATCACAACCTGAGCCAAAGTTGGACACATAAACAACTGAGCCACCCAGGCGCCCCAAGCCACTGCATTTTTTTTTAATTTTTTTTTTCAACGTTTATTTATTTTTGGGACAGAGAGAGACAGAGCATGAACAGGGGAGGGGCAGAGAGAGAGGGAGACACAGAATCGCAAACAGGCTCCAGGTTCTGAGCCATCAGCCCAGAGCCCGACGCGGGGCTCGAACTCACAGACCGCGAGATCGTGACCTGGCTGAAGTCGGACGCTTAACCGACTGCGCCACCCAGGCGCCCCTGCATTTTAATCCTCTAATGTGGGTTGGTAATTCTCTTTGAGGTAAATCTTATAATCATTATTCATATTAGGAGACATCAGCCAGATGGGATAATTCATGTTGAGTAACAAACAACCCCCAAATTTTAATGACCTCAATCAATAGAAGTTTATTTCTTGGTCATGCTATGTATCCATTGGGTTGGTGTTCTACTCCATGTGGCCCTCACTCAAGGATCAGACTGATAGAGTCTCTGTCATGTTTCAGCAGAAAGGCAACAAGATTAGTTTCTTACAGCCTTCTCCCCAGGAATAACACATGTCTACTTCTATTCTCAATCCACTGACAAGTACATGACATGTGCTAATATTAAGGGAACCAGAAGTATAATCCTACCATGCACCCAAAAAGAGGAAACGGAAATATAACTGAACAGCACAGAAACTGTGACTCAAAGATGTTGAATACTTTGTTGAAAGTTTCGTAGATATGAAAGAGCATAACTGGCATTTGAGGCTAGGTCTTTTTGCTTTTTGGCATTAAGGCCCTGCTCTTTTCATAAGCCATGCTACCCCCCTGGGATGGAAAACTGAGTAGGACAAGTTAGATGGTGAGAGTTAAAGAGAGACCAAGTATGTTAAAGCAAGAGAATACACAAACATGGAGATATATAAACAAATACAACTTACAACATGCAAAGAGAGGAAACCCAGGACAGACATAGATTTTATTTTCGTTTGTTTTCAAAAGTTAGATCAGGGAATGTTAATAGGTTTGTGGTTCCTAAAAACCCTGCCCAACTGGTGTGTGAAGTACTCGTGATCAATGCTTAGGTACCAGTGGACTCTCCTCAGTGTAGGGAGAGTGTGGTTTCTGTCAAAGATATATAACTTCCACACACTTCTCTACCTTCCTCCAGAAGGGAGTTATTTCAAATATACAGTGTTGAGCGAGTGTCTATTATAGAAGAACATACAACATCACACCACTCAATGTAGAAAGAAGTAATTTTCAAATTCAAATTCTGCTCATATTTTTACCCCCAGTACAGAGAAACTGAAAAAATTTTAATGTCATATGGGCAACCAGCATCCCCAGTCACAAAAAGCCTGATTACAAAGAGCCAGAAGGACACATCCCACTCTTGCAGTCTTTGTTGGAGATAAGATAACCAACTTCCATCTGTAACTAAATGCAGAGCCTGATGGAAACATAGAGGGATAGCCAGTCCTCAAGTTTGGACTTTGGCAACTCAAGCCTTCATTCTTCTAAGAGTTTTGTTGAAGCAGAATTTTGTTGAAGCAGAGTTAAACAACTCTAAGAAAATCTTCCTGAACTTGTACCATCCTATTATCTTCTGTACTTCCAACACCACCAGTTGACTGTTCCCTCCATTCATTTAGTCTTCCATTCAGCAGCATACTTTTAAGTTCCTTCTATTTTTCAGGCACTGTGCTAGGTACTAAAGATAAAAATTAGTGAACAAAACAGCCAATCCCATCCCTCAATCCTATCATAGTTTATCATGTATCTTCATAAATCAGGTTCTTTCACAATCTCATCACCGATCTCCAGAGCCTCTGCTGCTAATGCACATGGCAAGACCTTAATTAAGTTTGCGGAATGCATGAATGAGCAAAAAGAGTGAATGTAGGAACTTGTCTGTAAAAACATATAATGTCTAAGAGCAAAATTAAGAAACGTAACTTTTTAAGTGATTTTTTAAAAACGGAATCTGATGCATAAAAATTGTTTGTATCACTTTCAATCCTAACTCACTTCCAATCTTGACCAAGTTATATCTTATTTAGTGTTATCCCTTTTCCCCCACTTAATATTAGAGTCCACAGAGTTTCTGCATCTCAATTTAGAAAGAAAAATTCTAAGTCATCAGAAGTACACATTGCACTTCAAGATTTAAAACAACACCACAACAAAACTAACCTGGGATGGGCTTTGCTTTCACAAATTTGGCGTTGGCAGTAATATATTTTAACTCAACCAAGCCCAGTTATTTGAGGGAAGACTCAAAGATGAGCGAATAAAGGCAGTTTCATCCTGCTTAAAGCAGAAGACACAAACACAAATTGAAAGATATATGTTCTGCCTTTTTAAGGCATGTTGTGGGCATGTATTGTTTTTGTCCTCCTAGAATCCATTCGCCTTCTTTAGTAGCAGTGCCCCATTTTTTCTCTGGGGAACTATCTCCTTCCTCTATTGAATCC